AAGAAACACTACTATGGCTTAAATCACATATTGACCCTCACATACTGATAGTGGGAGACTTCACTATCCCACTCTCACCAACTAACAAGTCATCCAGACAAAAGCTAAACAGAGAAATGCAGGAGTTTGCAGATGTTACAGACTAAATGGACCTAAAAGATATTGCAGAACATTGCACTCAAATACAAAAGAATATACCTTCTTCTCAGCATCTCACAGAATTTTCTCCAAAATTGACCACATACTCAGTCGCAAAGCAGGTCTCCACAGATACAAGAAAATTGAAATAACTTCCTGAATCCTATCAGACCACCTCATATTAAAGCTGGATACCAATGGCAAAAGAAAAAAAAAAAACTAGAAAGTCTACAAACTCATGAAAACTGAACAAATGCCTGCTGAATGAAAAAAATTTTCATTTTTCTAGAACTGAATGAAAATTAATACACACCACATCCAAACTTAATGCAAGCAATGCTAAGAGAAATGTTCATAGCACTAAGTGCTTTAATAAAGAATTTGACACCTCATACTACTAGCGACTTAACAGCACATCTGAAAGCTCTAGGACAAAAAGAATATGCAAGAGAAAAAGATGGCAAGAAGTAATCAAACTGAAGGCTGAAATTAATAAAATAAAAACAAAGAGAAAAATCAAAGAATCAATGAAACAAAGAAATGATTCTTTGAGGAAATCAACAAGATAAACAAACCCTTATTCAAACTAACTAAAAGACACAGAAAGAATATCCTAATTAACAAATCAGAAATGAAAAGGGGGACATAAAAACAGACACTAAGAAAATCCAGAGAATCATAATGACATGCTTCAAGAAGCCTGTACTCCAACAATATGGGAAGCCTAAAAGAAATAGATAGTTTTCTTGATAGGTACGACTTAAGAAAGTTAAATCAGGATTATACAAACATCTAAAAAAGATCTATAGCCCCTAGTGAAATAAAAGCAGTCATTAAAAGTCTACCAACCAAAAAAGCCCCAGGGCCATATGGTTTTAGTACAAAATTCTACCAGATTCTCAAATTATTCCACAAAATAGAAACAGAAGGAACATTGCCCAATTCATTTTCTGAGACCACAGTTATCCTAATATCCAAACCACATAATGACTCAACTAAGAAAAGAACTACAGATCAAGTTCCCTTATGAACACAGATGCAAAAAAAAAATAATAAAATACTTGCAAAGGGAATCCTGGAACACAGCAAGAAGATCATTGACATGATCAAGTAGGCTTCATCCCAGAGATGTAGAGATGGTTAAATATATAGAAATCAGTAAAAGTAATCCACCATATGAACAAACTAAAAAAAAACCCTACATGATCAGATGTTTGGCAAAATCAAACACCCCTTCATCATAAAAGTCCTGGAGAGATCGGGAATACAATGGGTATACCTAAGCATAATACAAGGATAACACCAACTGACAATTTAGGCAATGGTAGAGAGGCTACCCTAAATGCTCTTCCCCTGTGATGAGATGGATGACTGCCTTATATGCCATCCTAGAGCCCTCATCCAGTGGCTGATGGAAGCAGAGGCAGACACCCACAGATATACACTGAAATGAACTCTGGAACCCAGTTGCAGAGAGGGGGGAGTGAAGAGCAAATAGGTTGGGACCAGGCTGGTGAAACCCACAGAAACAGCTGACCTGAACAAGGGGGAGCACGTGTACCTGATGTCTGGGAGGCCAGCAGGGAACTGATCCAGATCCCTGAACATAGATGTCAATGAGGAGGCCTCGGCACTCTATGGGGCCCCTGGTAGTGGATCAGTATTTATCCTTGGTGTAAGAAGGGACTTTGGGAGCCCATCCCATATGGAGGGATACTCTCTCAGCCTGGACACATAGGGGAAGGGCTAGGCCCTGTCCAGGTGATATGATGGACTTTGGGGGACCTCCATGGAAGGCCTTACCCTCCCTGGGGAGCAGAGGGGGGATGAGGAGGGAGGCAAAGCAGCAGCCTACAGAATGGGAAAAGATATTTTAAGCAACTCCACATTTGGTAGACAACTAATATCCAAAATACGTAAAGAACTCAAAAAACTAGATATCTAATTAAAAATGGGGTACAGATTTAAACAGAGAATTCTCAATAGAGGAATCTCAAACATCCAAGAAACACTTAAAGAAATGTTATACATCCATCAGGGAAATGTAAATCAAAACTACTCAAAGATTCCATCTTACACCTGTCAGAATGGCAAAGATCAGTAACACAGTTGACAGCTCATGCTGATAAGGAGTTGGAGCAAGGGGAACATTCCTCCTTTGCTGGTGGGAGTGCAAACTTTTACAGCCACTGTGAAAATCAATATGGTGGTTTCTCAGAAAATTGAGAATCAGTTTACCTCATGACCCAGATATACCATTCTTGGGCATATATGTAAATTACTCTCAATTCTATCATAAGGACACTTGTTCAGCCATGTTCACTGTAGCTTTATTCATAATAGCCAGAAACTGGAAATGACCTAGATGCCTCTCAACAGAAGAATGGATAAAGAAAATCTAAATTATGCAATGGAGTGTTATTCAGCTATTTAAAAATAACAACATGAAATTCACAGGCAAATGAATGGTACTAAATAAAAGATCATTTTAAGTGAGTTAACCCAGGTACAGAAAAACAAATGGTATGTGTTCACTTATAAGTGGATATTAGCCATTAAGCAAATGATAACCAATAAAAATCTGTAGATGCAGAGAGGATAGGGAAAGAGGAGGGGTCTGGGGGGGCTTATGGATATTCTGGGAAAAGGAAATAGAATAGATTTTATGGGTAGACTGGGGATGGTGGGGATTGGAGTGAGAGGGATCAGGCTGGAGGGAGATGACATGGAGGGATAGTGTGCAGGGAGAGATAACTGGTATTGGGGGCATTGGGGGATGTCGTGGAAACCTAGTGCAGTGGAAACGTCCTGAAATCTATGAAGGTGGATCCTAATTAGGACTCCTAGTAATGGGAGAATACAGAGTGTTACCTGATCATCTCTTGTAGTCAGACAAGGCTTCCAGTGGAGGGACTGGGTTGCATTCAGTTGAGTTATTGACCAGGGAGATCTTTTGGAAATCCACAAACAACCCAAGCTGATGCTAAGACAAAGGGTGGCTGTCTGCAAACTAACAATGGGCTGCACTGCCAAGGACAACATCCAGACAACTCATTGAACATGGAAAAGTTGAACTAGTACATAGAGACTTCATTCCAAGGTTCTAGTCTTTTTGGTATGGGAAGGTACTCTAGAGGCTACTGAAAGAGAAATGTGGCCACCAACCCAGCAACCCAGCCACAACCCTTTGATCTACAATTTGTCCTGCCTCCAAAATATGCTAGGGCAAAGTTGGCATAGAACGTGTGGGAGTAGCCAACTAATGTCTGATTTTACTTAAAGCCTACTCCATCTAACAAAGAATCAGACACTAGATATCCCAGAGACATAGGGTAAAATCAAATAAAACTGGTCAAAAAAAGAAAATATCTATAAAATGACTCCTAATGATATTCTTCTATACTCTTTGATCAGTGCCTTATCCAATCATCAGACAGGTTTCCTCCAGCAGCAGAGGAGAACAAATGTAGAGACCCCTAGCTAGACATTATGTAGATCAAGAGTGTAGAGGAGGTCTGAATCAAATCCACCGCCCCCCCCCTCAGAGCTCAGGGAATCCCATAGAGGAATTGAAACAATTATAAGAGCCAGAGAATAGAGTTTGGCTCAGTGCTTAGCTGTGGATCTCTGCTTCTTCTTCCATCAGCTACTGGATGAAGGCTCTAGATGGCATTTAATGTAGTCATCATTCTCATTATAGGGGAAGGGCATTTAAGTTAGCCTCTCTGCTGTTGCTTAGATTCTTAGTTGGGGTCATCTTTGTGGATTCCTGGAGATTTCTCTAGTATCAGGCTTCCCATTAAGCCCACAACAGCTCCCTCTATTAAGGTATCTCTTTCTTTGCTGTCCTTCTTTTCTTCCCCAAACTCGATCTTCCTGATGCATCATGTTCTCTTCCCAGTCCCCTTCTCTCCTCCTCTTTTTTCTACCTTCCTTCTCCCTCCCCCACCATGCTCCCAATTTACTCAGGAGATCTTGTCCCTTTCCCCTTGGGGGAGGGAGGCAGGTCCATGTATATCTTTCTTAGGGTCCCCCTTGTTTCCTAGCTTCTCTGGGACAAACTCTCGGTCTTAATCCACTGCTTCTCCATTTCTGTTCTGAAAGGGACAGGCCTCACATGGGCTTCAAGTTGCAGCAAGGCTATAAGCATCTTGCCTTGTATTTAGACTAGGCAAGGCAATCAAGTATAAGAAATAAGTCTCCATGAGCCAGCCAAAGCATGAGGGACAGACCCTGATCCTATTGTTAGGAGTCCCACAAGTAGACCAAGCTACACAACAGTTACATATATGTAGAGGGCTTCAGTTGGCCCCATGCAGGCTCTCTGGTTCCAACCAATGCTTGAAGTGCTATATATACTGCTTTCATATGAAACTTCCTATCTTTAAGAAGGTCATTATGGTGGAGAATAAAGATATATACATAAGTTTAAAGAGTTAATTAATATCAAAAAGTTTAGTAATGTTGTTTTACAAAAGAAAGCTGTTTAGCAAATACTGTGAGTTATGAAAATCCAAACATGCCATAAGCATAATCTTTAATAGCTGTTGTTAATTATGTACCATGTAAAGTTTCATTTATGAGTATTTTTATAGACATTTTACAATTTAGGAGAACAAGAGCATGGCTGAATACTAGTAGGTATGAGAGATAGAACACACCCCAAATATTTCTTCATCAAGTTAAAATCTCTTGATATTGGCATCATTTTTCTATAGAGTTTAGGTAAAGGCAAGTCCATATCCATTGCCAGATAGTATTTGGAGAGGAAGGCAGATGTCTATTAACTTTTAACACCTTTAAGATAATTTAGGATGTTTGCTTTTGACCGTGTCTGTAAAAATATTGTTCTCCTTATATAGGGCTGTGACACACAGATGATTTATGACCTACTGCTAAGATTGAAATCCACTATTTATTTACCTGGTGACTTTGTCTGCAAAAAGGTGAGTGCATACTATTTTCAAGTTCACAGTTAATAATGCATTGGGAGAATTTGGACATAGGTCAATAATTTATTTGAAATAAAGTCTGTCCAAAGAGACTCAATATTATAAAACACTATGCCATATACTTAATTCTGCAAAACAACAATAAAGGCTTGGAGTTCAAAACAGAACAAAATAATATAGATTCTATTGCATATGTCATAGGATAGACATGTAGGTAGTCTGAAAAGGTATTTGTATAAGTTTAAATAGCCAATCATAATATAGCATAAAATTTAAATATTTTAAGTGAAGAACAAAATATAGAAGTGATAGGTGCCTTTGCCTTTTCTGCTTCATCAGCAAACTATCTGTTATTTCTATTTTTCTCACAGAGTTAGTAGATAATAAATGCCAATTTTTTAAAATCTTTATTGTGAATTTGATGACTATAAAAGTATTTCATGTTTATTATTTTTTAAATAGAAAACATATAATCACAAACATGAAATTCTACCATAAAGAAATGATACCTGCTCATATATTGTGCCTGTCTTTCTATACAGATTAGTGGGTCCCATTATGTTGCTGTGGTTGACCTGGAATTCACTATATAGGCCAGGCTACCCTGCCACTTGTAGAATTCTGCCTAACTCTGCCTCTCAAGCATTGGGATTAAAGGTGTCTGCCGGTGCACCAGTCTCTGATCATTATCTTAAAAATAATTAAGAACATGTCTATAATCACAGAACTCTGGAAAGGCTGAGGCAAGAGGACCACAAGGTCAAAGTCAGCAGGAACTACACAGGGAGTCCATTTACAAAGCTTGTTATTTTCTAAAAAAAGGAGAGAAAATGAGACCCTGAATTTTATATCTAGAGAGACTAACCCATTGTTGAAGTGAGCAATCAAAAGTTATACAACATTAAAGTAGAAGTAAAATGTCTAGAAGGACAAAGGAGACTCACAGGTGTGATATGAAAGGAAGGGAAGGTAGATAGATATGTTGGGACATGTTCACCATGTGATATATACTTGTACAAAAATTTTCAAAACAAATAAAATTTAAAAATAAAGGAAAGTGAACAGTACAAAAAAAAATGGAGATGACCTAAGGCCTTGGAGAGTTCACAAGTGAGTGTAGATTAAAAGCACTTACTCCATTCCAAAATAGTATGGAATAAATACCAGGTTATAGGACAGAAGCAGAGGCAGCTGCTGGAAGACTTCCTGAAGAAGGAGCCTGTGATAAGTCTTGGGAAGTAAACTGAAGTGGACCCAGTGTTACCTGAGTGTGGAAATGAACTAGCTTGAGCCAAGATGGATAAGAAGTAACTTGTATTCGCAGGATGAATGTAGAGAACTACAATAAGACCTGTGTTAAGACAATTTCAAATTGTTTATTTCAAAAGTAATAAGCAGGGGGTTTTGTTTGTTTGTGTTTTGGGGGTTGTTGTTGGGTTGTTTTTCTTTTTCTCTTTTTTTTTTTGAGACCGTGTTTCTCTGTGTAACCATGGCTGTAGACCAGGCTGGCCTCAAACTCCCAGATCCACCTCTATCTCTGCCCTCCCAAGTGCTGGAATAAAAGCATATGCCACCGATGCCCAGCTGCAATAAGCAGTTTTTAGTATTCTGGAACAGGTGCTATAATGGGTAATGAGCAAACACCAAAGTCCTTCAGTCTAGTACTAAGGTGTTCAACCCACAGTATGTCAGCATCATATGAACAAAGGAGTCTGGGCTCCACACCTAGACATTCATTGGTTCTGATGAACTCCACATACTAGCCTAAAAGGAAAAAACAATTCCATCTGATTCTAAAATACAGTCATGAGAAAGACTGACTTGATTAAAGAGAAAGGAAACAAAAAATGAAATTAAATTAATGCATACCTGTAAATACAAAGAGAAACGGAAGTTGTTAGAGGAAGGCAGAGTAGTAAAGGCACGTATTTATATTAGAAGTTGGGAGAGGGAAGTTGTCAGTTTGTCAGCTGTGACCTTCGTAAAAATCTAAAGATATATAGTCCTTTAGTTAAAAAAGAAAAAAGAAAATCGATGGGCTAATATTTTTTATGAGGAGTTGCAGCCATAATCGGAGAGGCAAAGCAGAACCTGTCATATTCAAGAAATGGAAGCAAATGAAGGACTCAAATAGTGGGGAAAGACACAATCAAATGAGGTGTGAACTATGTCAAACACATCACATAGAGACACCGGCATATAGGTCGAATCAATCAGATGAAAGAAGATGAAATTGAAAGTGAATGCCTAGCAGCTGGAATATAATGAAAGCTGGCTTTAAGAGTTCAAGGCACGGTATGAGAAAGAAGGCTGAGACTGGAAAGGCACCAACATTATAAAGATCAATGAAGATGAATGGGAGAGGGCAACTAAGAAGGAGTTGTCAAAGATAAAAGAGGAAGGAAGGAGAGGTTCTGGTATACTGGAAACTAAGCGTACACATCCCACATAAACTCATCCAGGTAGAATACAGACTGATTGTAAGTGAAATAAAATCATGCTCATTAAAATGGAAGAGAATGAAAAATGAAGACAGAAACAGCATAATTTAAGAGTTCCTTTGTGGGCAGTGCACACTGAAATGACGTAGACTAAAACAGGTTCAAGTTGTTCGAGTGGTGGAAGGGGCTGGTTATTGAGACAGCACACAGACACTTTAGCACTTGTACCTTGAAACAATGCAATTTTTCTTAAGGAAGTGTGAGGTATGGGGATGCAGCTTTCTCATTCCTAATTTTATCATATCAAATTCATCCAATAATAAAAACAAGTAAGTGGATACAGATGAGGAAAACAAAAACAAAGGTGGAGGAAAGAGTAGGCAGAAGAAGAAGAATGCAGGTCACTCTTCTGTAGTTTTGCTTTACTTTTTAGGTTTGTTTTTATTCATAAATGGAGATTTGATACTAGATCTTGACAGAGAAGAAAAGCTGTTACTTGACCAAAGTTTAGGTAGCTGAATTTAATTTGATATGTATTTACTACTTCCATAAAGACTTGCAGAGAAGGGGAAATAAAAACAGGTCATATTCAATAAGAGGTTACCTAAATAACTGAAGCAATGGCTGGGTTCATGTCTAATATTCTAAACTGCTTTGGGAAAGCATGTAGGGCTTCAAGACTACTTAGAAGTTTTCTTGGAGTGCTGTGCTGCCATACAAAACATAACCACAGAGCTTTCCATGTTGCACAAAAAAATAAGTGACCCAGAGACAAGATATTGGTATTCAACCTGAAGATCAGGGAAACAAAGCAGCTGGCCACTAGCTCTCATCTCAAGCACAGACTGAAAGGACTGATCCATGTATGAGCTCTTCACCAAGCCTCAAACTGCTGCCTCTCCTCAGCATGGCTGGAGAATCCTGAGACCTCAATGTTTTCCTATCAGACTTGATACTGAGCCTTCTTATCTTCAGTGTGACTGGAGAATGAATGCCTCCTCCTGTTTTCAGAATGAATGCCTAATACTGAATCCTTGCTCCTGTCTTATATACCTCCCAGGAGTACTGGGATTGAAGATGTGAGCTAGAATTCTCGTTTAGAATGATTCAATCTTGTATAGATGTGGGTGGCATTGAACTCACAGAGATCTGTTTACCTCTTAATCCTTAGTCCTAAAATAAAAGGTATGTCCCACAACCTCCTAGCTCTGGATGTTGGGATTAAAGGTGTGTGCCTGGCTTCTATGGCATGTGGCTCACTTTGCTTTCTGATTCCTCTGGCAAGCTTTAATATATCATAAATAATATATCACTACATTTTCAAGGTTTAGACATCTGCAACTTAATTTCCAAAGATTCTCATCCAATAGTTTTGCAGTGGGGTTTTGGGAGTGTCACCTCCAAAGGAGCTCTTCATAGTACTAATGGTCCATCCAGAAGCCAAACTGTGAGTATCATCTCTCTTTTCTGATGAGGTATGAGGAGTGTCATGATGCTCCCCATTAGCCTTGGAAATAGCCTCCAGAACAAGAATCCTAATGTTCTGGGCATACACACTCACTAACAGTTACCTTGCTCTACCTGAGGTGCTTGCCTTTCAACACTTTCTCCAAATTAGCACATGAAACAGTCACAAGTTAGGTTTGATCTTGCTTTACACATGCTGTCAGCCTCTACCGTCTTGAAGTGATGTCTACTTCATCTGAATGCTAATTAAGCTTGCAGAAAAGGCTTAAATTAACACAGAAATATGCAAGAGGTAGTAGAAGTTTGGGCTTGTTGATTATGCCTGATACCTTTGGGAGATTATCAAAATGATCATTAAGATATTAATTAGAAATACTGAAC